GAAAGATGCTGTCCAGGCTCTTTTTTCATCATGGTTTTCAGGTAGTCCAATCATTTTTAAATTATCTCTCCTGGATCTATTTTCCAGGGCAGTTGTTTTACCAATTTGGTATTTTATGTTTTCTTCTATTTTTTCATTCTTTCATTTGTGTTTGACTGATTCTGTTTCTCTCATAGAGTCATTAGCTTCCGCTTGCCCAATTCTAATTTTTAACAAATTGTTTCCTTCTGTTATATTTTGTACCTCCTTTTCCATTTGGCCAATTTTATTTTTTAAGGATTTGTCTTCTTCGGTGTACTTTTTTCGCATTTGGCCAATTGCATTTTTTTTTGGGTTGGGCAATGGGGGTTAAGTGACTTGCCCAGGGTCACACAGCTAGTTATTGTTTTATGTCTGAGGCTGGATTTGAACTCAGGTCCTCTTGAATCCAGGGCTAGTACTCTATCCACTGTGCCATCTAGCTGCCCCTGCCAATTGTATTTTTTAAGGACTTGTCAATTTTTTTCCTTCTTTGTCCAGGCTATTGATTCTCTCTTGCATACCTCTCATTTCTTTTCCCAATTTTTCCTTCTTCTCTTATTTGACTTTTAAAATCCTTTTTTTCTTTTTATTTTTTCTTTCTTTTCTTTTTTTTTTTTTTAGGCAATTGGGGTTAAGTGACTTGCCCAGGGTCACATAGCTAGTATCAAGTGTCTGGTCTGAGGCCGGATTTGAACTCAGGTTCTCCTGAGTCCAGGACTGGTACTTTATCCACTGTGCCACCTAGCTGCCCCTAAAACCTTTTTGGAGCCCTTCCAAGAAAGTTTTTTGGACTTGAGACCAGTTTGTATTCCCCTTTGAGGTTTCAGATGTGGGTATATTGACAGTGTTGTCCTCTTCTGAGTGTGTGCCGTGATATTCCCTGTTCCCATAATAAGAATCTGTGGTCATTGTCCATTTCTGCTTTCTGCTCCTGGTGTTTGCCTATTTCCTGGCTTTTAAAGTTGAGCTCTCCTGCTGGAGCAAAAGGGGCAGTGACCCAAGCTTCTTGTGCTGGGAGCCTGGGACCTGGTCACTGGCTTTGTATTCTGGGCCCTTAAGTGCTAGCAGCTGGAGATTGTAGGGGTCTGGCAGCTTGCCTGGTGCTGAGCTGGGGTCAGTAAGTAGCACTGGAGCTCTTGGGCCAGGTGTGGGAAATCTGGCCCTTGTAGGCCACCTGCTCTCCTGGTGAGCCCACCCTGGCTTCTTTAAAACACTGAAATGATTGGCTGCTGGAAGATGTCTGCCAGCCTGGAGTTGTGCTGAAACAGTGGGAGATTTGGCTGCTGGAGAACGCCAGCACAGATGGTGGTTTTCCGAGCTTATGTTTACCAGTTCCTCTACCTGTGCTGAGGCATTTCTGGTGTTGGCAGTTGGCCTGCTCCACCATTCTCAGGCTCAGGATCTCCCCCTGGTTTGGTGAGATGAGGCTTGCTGCTGGCTTGCTGGGCTGCTTTCTGTCCTGTACTGATCCTCCTTCCCCAGAGTAATTAAGGCCTTACCTGTTAATCCCCCAAGCTTCCTGGGCCACAAGACTGCCATACCCCATGTTTCTGCTAGCTCAGTTGTTCCAGGGCTTTTCCTTAGGTGATATTTTGTGGGCTTTCAGGTTAATAAGGGAGGATAAGAGTGACTTACTTCTTACTCTGACATCTTGGCTCCTGAAAGTCGAGTTAGCAATTCTTTTGAGAGCTGTTTGTTCATATCCTTTGACCACTTATCTGGTGATCATGGCTTTGGGTCTTATATATTTCTGTTTCTATGTAACTTGGATACTCGTATCTGTGAAATTTGATGCAAAGATTTTTTTTTCATATTCAACTGCTTCCCTTTTTATATTAATAATAATAATAAGGTATATTAATTTTATTTGCAAAAGCCTTCTGATACCACATAATTAAATTTTATCCTTGCAGGTATCTTTATCTCATTTAATTAAGACATCTCCAACTCATAGCTGTCAATTCCTTCTCTTCTGATTTTTAATGGCATTGAAATTTTAATGTGTTCTTAATTTCTAGGTTGCATATCTACCATCATTTTGAAGAGAAATTCTGCCTAAAATTCATGTTGGCTAGATCTCCAGAATATATTTAGGTGTCTTATGTAAATAGAATTTTTGTTATTGGCTACGGATTCTTTAAGGTTTAAGTAAAGAAGACTGCTAACTTTTTTTTTCTCACATTAAGAGGAATAACCTATATGTAGACACTGGTTCAAGTAAAGGGATTTTTCTTCTAAATGGTATACCTAGGAATATAAGTGAATATATGCTTCTACTAAACGTTTTACTCCCAAATTTAGTTTAGCTGAAGTGCTTGAATTTAGAATGCAAAATGAATGCGAGTCAAAATTGTATAAGCAAAGCCAAAGTTAACAGTTGGGCTGTCATTGGATATGCAGTCCATTAATGTACTAACTTTCTCAGTGCCGTGGATATCTCTTAAATTGAGCCAAAGGCTTACTAGCTTTGAAGTGTTAGAAGCTCTTCATTTAAAATTGATTTTTAATGTAGATTTCATCACTTTGCCACTATTGTCTAGTAAAACATAGGTGTGTAATCTAATTTATTTGAAACATAGTTGTCAACTTAAGATTAAAAAATATCTTTTTGAAGATTGAGAAAGTGGGCTGTCAAAGAACAGGTAGTTCAAAGCATCTAATAACCCTTACAATATTCCTTGAACAAGAATGCCATATAGAAAAATTTGCACACCCTTCCCTCTTAGAAAATACAATAAAATAATACTTGCTGCTGTTTCTGGCTTTGTGCTTACCCATGCAAAAACTTTTAAGCATAAAATTTCCTTTGTACATAGTGAGAATATTTTGCAGTATGATTAGTAGTATGAAATAGAAAAGAAGGTAAGTAGATTCCTTGTCTAACAAAAGCACAGATTGGAATTTCCTGAATCTTAAGTGGCTATTGTCTCAGCATTTTTTTTTAGAAGTATAATGTTGTAGCTTTTTTTTTTTGTTTTATTTAGTTTTTTTTTTAAAGTGAGGCAGTTGGGGTTAAGTGACTTGCCCAGAGTCACACAGCTAGGATATATTATGTGTCTGAGGCCGGATTTGAACTCAGGTCCTCCTGACTCCAGGGCCGGTGCTCTATCCATTGCGCCACCTAGCTGCCCCACTGTTTTAGTTTTAAAAGAGATTTCAGTTATCATCTAATCTAATACATTTAATTTTATCGATGAGGAAACTGGGGCCCAAAGCAGTTAATTGGTCATACTTATTAAATACTAGAGCCAGGGCTATGCTGACCCAACTGATTCCTCATCCGGTGATTTATCCACTTTAATATGTTACTTTACTAATATGTTGCTAGCTAGTTTTTTTTTCTTTTAGGAATTTGTAGGGCAGAGCCAAGATGGTGAAGTAAAGGGAGGGACTCGCTTAGGCTCTCAAAACAAATTCTGAAATGGCAGAACCAACAAGTGAAACAATTTTTCAGACCTATACAGCTTAGAACACCAGTGGGAAAGGTCTGTCTCACAGGGGTGAGAGTCTAGTGGATTACGTGATTTAGACATAAAGGGTAGTACTGTAAGCAAATTAGGGGAGCATGGGATATTTTACCTGTCAGATCTATGATAAAAGAAGAATTTGTAACCAAATAAGAGATAAGGTAGCATTATGAGATATAAAATGGATAATTTTGATTACATTAAATTAAAACTTATTTTAATTTAAAATTAAATTTGTTTTGCACAAACAAAACCAATGAGTCAAAATTGTAAGGAAAACAGAAAACTGAGAAAAAAATTTATATCAAGTTTCTTTGATAAAGACTTCATTTCTCAAATATATACACAACGGAGTTAAATTTATAAGAATAAAAGTTATTCCCCATTTGATAAATGGTCAAAGGGTATGAATAGGCAGTTTCCAGGTAAAGAAATCAAACCTATCTGTAGTCTTATGAAAAAATGTTCAAAATCACTATTGATTAGAGAAATATAAATTAAAACAATTCTGAGGTACCACCTCATACCTATTAGATTGGCTAATGTGACAGAAAAGGAAAATGATAAATGTTGAGAGGGAATGTGTGAAAATTGAGTCACTAATGCCTTATTGGTGGAGTTGTGAACTGATTCAGCCATTCTGGAGATAAATTTGGAATTATGCTTAAAGGGCTACAAAACTGTGCATGCCCTTTGATACAGCAATACCACTACTAGGTCTGTGTCCTAAAGAGATTTAAAAAAAAAACAAAAAGGAAAAGAACTGTGTATACAAAAAATATTTATAGCTGCTCTTTTTGTGGTGGTGAAGAATTGAAAATTGAGAGAGTGACTGAACAAGTTACCTTTTTTTTTTTCTGTCACTGCTCTCCTTGCTGTATATGCTTAGAGGGTATGAACAATTGAATGACTTTTCTAAAATTATTGTACCAGTTCATAATTTCACTAGTTATGTCTGTCTTCCCACAGACCCTCCAAAATTAAATATGTCCATTTTTAATTTGATGTATTAAAGGGTAAACCTCAGTTATTTTATTTTTTATGTTTCTTAAAATGTGGCATTTCATTATATTCACATACTAGAGTTTGTTTGTTATCCAATTAATAGGTACCCACTTTGCTTCAATTTCTTTGCTAGAACAAAAGGTGTTCTTGTACATGTATATCTATATGTAATATTTCTGTTTTTTTATTTTCTTGTTCTATATGCCTAACAGTGGAATTATCAGGGTCAAAGAATTTTAACAGTTTATTCATTCCCCTACCCCACCTCACCCCCCCACACACAGTTCCAAATTATTTTCAAAATGATAGATCAGTTGACAGGTCCACCAATAACATAATCAGTTTGTTCATATTTTTATGCATAAAAAGGTCATAAATGTTGACAATAAAAGCTTTTAGTATATTAAATAGTATAATTATAATGCTTTCTATAAAACCTGCCTAGCAAAGTTAAAAGTTTCAGCAGTTATAACATCATGGTTTAAAAACTGTCTTAAAATTTTTTAGGTTATTTTCACTGTAATGAGTACGATAGCCTGAGATCAAGGTGGTTGAAGCAGACACTAGAATCCTTCATCCCACAACCTATGACACATATAATAAAAGTATCCGAATTGGATGGCAGAAAGATAGGAGATAATCAACCCGAAATGTTTGACAAGGTAATAGTATTGGGCAAACTGATTTCCAAATATCACTACTACTTTTCCCCTCCTACTTAAACTCCACACACACACACACACACACACACACACACACACACACACACACACACACAGTGTCTCTTGTCTTTTTTTAGTGAGTTGAGAAATTTTAATAAAATGAAAATAGAAGTATCATCATTTGAAATATTTTCATTTTTATAGCAGAATTTATTTGGTGTCCCGTTTGGTTCAAGTATCTGATACCTTTGGGGTTGGGAGATTAAAGGGCCTTTTCGTGTTTTCCATGTACTTAAAAGATACTTTGAAAGACCAGATTTTATATAAATATACTATACATATATGTACATACATACACATATATATATTTATGTGTCTATATATATTTGTATATGTATACACACACACACATATGTGTGTAGTTAAGCATAGTAGTGCACACCTGTAATCACAACTACAGGGAGGCTGGATCTCTTGAGCTTGGGAGTGATGAGCTTCAGTGGTCAGTAGCTATTAGGTGTCCTCTGGCTTAGGTCAGAAATGGAGAAGACCAAGTTCCCTTGCCAATCAGTAATGAGATTGGGCCTATGGAGCAGCCCCTACAATTCCAGCCCGGCCAAGGCGGGAGACCCAGTCTTAAAAAAAGAAAAAAGTACAATATTTCTTTAATTCAGTGGTATTTTAAAATAACAGATAATGATAATTGAAGATTAAAAGGACTTCAGGAGACAAATAGAAACATACATTCAGCAAATTAAATGCTTAAAATGCGGAAATAAAGTAGTAGTATTTTTAAAATGAATGACTTTTATGCATTGTTTTACTGGCAGATTTTATTAATAATTCTTTTCAAGGATCTCCAAACCTTTATTGTATGTGGAAAATGATTCTCAAAAAGTATGTAGTAATAATAACAGCTTACATTTACATAGCACTTTAAAGTTTATAAACTGCCTTGAATATATCACTTTAAGTTTTCTGTCTTTTGTCTTTTTTTACTTCAGGTTTTAGTTGATGCCCCGTGTTCAAATGATCGAAGTTGGCTGTTCTCTTCTGATACCCAGAAGGCATCCTGTAGGTTGAACCAAAGAAAGGAATTGCCTATTATGCAGATAGAACTACTAAGGTGAGGAATAGGAAGACATATATTTAATATGTGCTTGTTGCCAGTTCAACTAGTAAGTGTCAAAAAGTGGTACTGGCTTGTGGACCAGAGGTGTTAAACATGCCTGTCACACTTCTGAGTGTGGCCTAAGCCATATTAAGATGTAACTAGAAAATATTTAACAAAATAGAAATACACTGGAACATAGATAATGTTAATATATGGTTGACTCAGGGATCTTTAAGTACAGTTTAGTGGCCCCATTTCTTTTTGAGTTTGACACCACTGCTTTGGGAACTTTTTGTTTACCACTTGGACATGTTTCAGCTGATACCATTTTGGAGTATCATGAAGGTTTATCCTTTGGATACCACACACCTAGGATTCAGGGACTTTGTTTTGCTATGCTACTCCTTTCCTAACGTGTCTATTATAGTACAGTAAAAGCAAAATATAGTCTGTCAACAAGTGGTTATTTAGCACCTGCTCATTTGTGAGGCATTGTGCTAGGAGCTTGGTGTACAAATGCAAAGAATGAAACAATCTCTACTTTCAGGGAGTTTATATTCAAACAAGGGAGACACAAGTGTATGTGTGATACATGATAAATCTAAAGAGAATAAATACAGAGTAATTAAATACAAGGTTGGGGGTATGGGAAAGTATCATAAAAGTCTTCTGTTTCTAGTAGAGAAATTATTTTATTGTGTTTTAGGTAATTTTGGGATACCAATCATTAAAAAGTAGGTAGGTTAATTATGTTGTCTCCTGTAACTCAGTTCAAGTTAAATAAAGTTTGAGTTGTTTGCTTAGTTTCTAATAGGATCTCCCTGTTTCACTCCCATTTCGTTTGCCTCCTTCCATGGGCTTCACATTCTTTTCACCTTCATTGCTGGTTTCCTCATATTTTTACCTAAGTCATGAGATACTCATCTCTCTTCCCTTTGTCAATAGGAAATCATTATCGTAGGCCCTAGATACCTTCTCAGTTTCAAGTAGAACCTTCTTTATTCTCTACCAAACTCCAGCTTGGTTATATCACTGGAATTTGTCATCAGAAATTGCCTAAACTGCCTTCTCTTTCTCCTGGCAAACAGCACCCTAATTATTTCTCCTTAAGTGCCCTTAATTTTTTTAGCTTTTTTATCTCTGTCTCCTCCTGCAGTTTCTCGTCAAACCTCCACATTCTTTAAAAAAAAAAAGTATATATGAGGCTACTAAGTGGCACAGTGGGTAGAGCACTAGCCCTGGAGTCAGGAGGACCTGAGTTCAAATCTAGCCTCAGACACTTGCCACTTACTATCTGTGTGATCCTGGACAAGTCACTTAACCCCAATTGCCTCAAAAAATAAATATAAAAATGCTTTGTTAAAAAAAAGATTTTTTAAAAAGTATAAATATATGTGTATATATACACACACACACACACACACACACACACATATTTATGTATACACACAAACATGTATATATGTGTATATATGTAAAATGTATGTGTGTATATGTATATATAAAATTTTTCCTCAATTACATATAAAGACAATTTTTAACATTCTGTTTTTATAATTTTGAATTTCCAATTTTCTCCCTTCCTCCTTCACTCTGCTCCACAGATGGCAAGCAATTTAATGTTATACATATTCAGTCATATAAAACATGCGATCATATTAGTCAATGTTGTAAAAGAAGACACAGACACAAATTTGAAAAAAACTACATGAATAAAAATACAGAAAGTGAAAAATAGTATACTTTGATCTGCATTCAGACTCCCATCAGTTTTTTCTCTGGAGGTGAATACCATTTTTAATCATGAGTCCTTTGGAATTATCTTGGATCATTGTATTGCTGAGAATAGCTAAGTCATTCACAATTGATCATCATATAATATTGCTGTTACTGTATACAGTGTTCTCCTGGTTATGCTCACTCACTTTGTATCAATTCATGTAAGTCTTTCCAGGTTTTTCTGAAATCAGCCTGCTCATCATTTAAAAAAAATTTTTTTTTTCGTTAATTAATTTTGATTTATCAACAATCATTTCCATAAGCTTTTGAGTTTTAATTTTTTCTCCATCCCCCTCCCCCTCTTCCTCCCCAAGACAGCTCGTAGGCTGATATAGGCTATACATATGCATTCCTATTAAACATATTTTCACATTAGTCATGTTGTAAGGAAGAATTAGAACCAATAGGAGGAACCATCAGAAAGAGGAAACAAAACAAAACTGAAGAAAAAAATAGCAAATAGTATGCTTCCACCTGCATTCAAACTCCTTAGTTCTTTCTTTGGATGTGGATAGCATTTTCTGTCGTGAGACCTTTGGAGATGTCTTAGATCCTTGCATTGCTGAGAAGGGCTAAGTCAATGTTAATCATTTCTCAACATGGCTGTTAACTGTGTGTAGCGTTCTCCTGGTTCTGTTCATTTCTTTCAGCATCAGCACCTACAAGTCTTTCCAGATTTTTCTGAAGTCTGCCTACTCATCATTTCTTATAGCATAGTAGTATTCCGTTACAATCATATCCTGCAAAGGAGTAATTAGTCTCTTTCTCTAATACTAGAATTATAGGCAGGAGTTGCCTTACCTATGTTTTTTCATACAGTCATCTAGGTCAGAGTTTTTTCATGTAGGGGCCCATGGAATGTCTTTAGGGGGTCCATTGAATTTTGAAGGGAACAAATTACATCTTTATTTAAATGTAATTCGTTTCCTTTCTAATCTTTTATATTTTATTTTATGCATTTAAAAACTTTATTCTGAGAAGGGATCCATAGGCTTCCTTATACTGCCACAGTAGAGTGGTCCATGACACCAAAAAAGTTAAGCATCCCTGATCTGAATTGTTTGTAGCTATTGAAAAAGTTATAATTTTGCATACTGCATATATCATATTTAAATAGATCATATTCACAACATGACTACTGTGGAAGTGTTTTGCATGGCTATACATGTATACATGTTTGTATTGAGTTGCTTGCCTTTTCAATGAGGGTGTGTGGGGAGGGAGGAAGGGAGAAAATTTGGAACCCAAAGTTTTAAAAACACATGTTAAAAAAAAAATTGTTTTCACACGCAATTGGAAAATAAGAAATACAGGAAATGGGGTATAAAATCGATCTTACTGCTACAGGAAAATAGAGGAAGAGGTTGGGGGGACAGTGAGATAGAAGGGAGGGCAGATTGGGGGGAGGAGTATACAGAATGCATGCCATCTTGGGGTGAGGGGAGGGATTAGATGGGGAGAAAATTTGGAACTCAAAATCTTGTGGAAGTGAATTTTGAAAACTAAAAATGAATTAAAAAAAGAGAAAAAATAAAAGTGATAGAAAAAAATAGATCATAAATTCACACCCTCAGTTTAGAGTTAACAAACTCTTTATATTTTATTTTTCCAAAATTAGTTATAAACTGTGGAGAAGCACCATGGTTACAGTGGCAAAAGTGCTAATTTATCACTTGATAATTGTCCGAATTTCAAAAATTATTGAACTTCTCTAGGCCTCAGTTTTCCCACCTGTAAAACGAGGAGGTTGTACTAGGTGACCTCTGAGATCATCTATGAGTATATGGTCTTCCTCAGTCACCAGGGATAAGCCTGAATGAAATGATTCTATAAAGTGCAGACATAACAATGTATGTTTTTTCTTAATATGAATGGGGGAGGGGAATAATTATTTATGTAGTACCTACTAGATGCCAGGCACTGTGCTGTGCCTTTTAAAGGTGAGAGGGTTGAAAAAAGAGAATAATAGAGTGTTACTGTAATTCTCCATAGGTGGAATGTGGAAAACTTTTATCTTATTGCCAATAGCAATAGAAACAAATAATTTTCCAAAATAGCCTATGATGAAGGATTTTTATCACATACTGTACTGAACAAATCAGTCCTCTGTGAATATCTGTCATAATGTATCACCTCAATACTCTTCAAATATAAGAGGTAATTGAGAGAAAACAATACTAAAAATGATGTAAAGGTTGGTATTCTTCAAAACATTTTATAGGGGTAGGGTAGTGCAAGGAAATTTTGCGTGATTTTAAGTGAAAAGGACCTAACCAAAACTTAAGGATTTTTTACAGAAATGTGAGTGTCTTAGTGAGTATAATGCATCATGTCACCCATTTCCTTAAGAAGTCAATCATATATAAAACATGGACCCCTTCTAGTTTTTTTCCTTCTGTGTTTTACAAGCAAAATTTAATTTGTGAGTTTTTGTTAAAAGTAAAAACAGCTCATCTGGTGAAGTTATACAAATTAAAATCTTTTAATAGCTTATTCTTCAAGCAGGAATCATGTTTAAATATAAACATTTTTTAGAAGTCAGAATTTCTTTTTTAAATTGTTTTTATTATATACTTGACAACCATAACAAGAGCAATGAAATAAACATGTAAAATATGGGGCAAAATCTTACCCATATCTATACTCAACCTTTAACATAGAAGAGCTAAAAGAAACAACAGACAGTAAATTAACAGTAAAGTTAATACTTTTATTTTTGTCCCTTTCTGGGTCTTGTTGAAGTTGTGTCATTGAGACCTGTTTTCCTTTCTTTTCTTTTAAAAAATATGTGGTTTTATATGTGCATATAAAATTTTGCTTTGTAGTCATCATGTATAGATTATTGACATTTCCATCCGTGTTTTATGTTCATTGTTTTCAGCTGTTCAGTTTTGTTAACAGTCCTCATCTGTGCCTGTCTCAGGACAGATTTCTGCTAGTTTGTGGTTTGTGTTGGAGCAAAATGTCATTTAGCAGTTAACAAAAGATTGATTTACTTTGGTACTTTGTGAGATTCATTATTTCATCAGTGTGAATATGCCTTCATTTATTCAACAAAAATTTTTCAACCTCTCCATCATTCTTAAGTTAACATGGCTGAAAAATTAATGACTTACTAACCCACCTTCTGAAGATGTTCTTTACATTAGGAAAACTTTTGGTCATTACCTTAAATGATAGACTTATGATTTGTTACCAGGCCCATGTTTTAAGTCTCTCCAACTTGGTAAGAC